TAGCTGGACTTTCTTTTCTTCTTTGTATGCATATGAACAAAATAAATGAGCTCACTAGCTGTTTCCTTTTCTTCCTTCATGCTAATCCTTTCTCAAACCCCACCTTTCCTTGGAGCCAGCTTGAATCACCTTAAGATTTCCAGGGTCCACTCAACAATGCCGAGCATTTTTGCTTTCTGACGTATGAAGATCTCCTTCCCCTTGAGTGATCCCTGTCCTCTCTCTGCGACTTGCCTGTGTCACGTTTAGATTGTAAACCCAATAGACAAGGAATGTAAGTAACGCTGTGTGTACACAATCCAGCATCAAAATGAAAATTGTCATTAGCAGCTAGGACTATAACATTCAGAATTTTAATTAACTTGCAGGCAATTGCATTAATACAGCTATAGTAAAACTCTCTTGGAACATATTTGACTCATTTTAATCACCACTGAAGTAATGAGCACAAGTGAGAAGCTGATGCGATGTCAATGGGCCTTAGGAAAAATTCTCTGGAACAATCTTCAAGGTGTTTGTGTACTTCAGAACATACAGTCTCTTTTGTTGCTAAGTCATTTACATTTCGGAAATGATATTAAGCAGCCAAAGTAATATATTACATATATTCTCGTGTTTTACAGACCACATATTAATGGGTAAATATGCAGGTTTGTTTATAGGTAATTCAACACAGAAATATTATTTTTATTAGTGAGAATTATGGTTTTCCCTCTGTGTGACACTGAAAATCTGAATCTGAAAGCCTAATTATCACTTGCTACCTTCTCTTAATATGAAATAATAAGATAATCATTTGAGACTCATAAACTCTTGATTTTTCATCTTGAAGGGCATGAACAATGTCACAAACTGTCATGAGACAGTTTGTGCTCTGTAGCTAGTGCTAATAGAAAACAGGAGGCCACCAGCAAATATGTCCTTGAATTACCTCTGAAAATGGAACTGTTCTCTTTTTGTATAATAACACATTTTGATCCAAAAGATAATTTGCCTTTATATCAAGAATTTATATAAAAGACTCACTTCTGAAGATACTCCATAGGCCATTCTTCTCTTAATTTGCTGTGTAATAGTTAAAATCCTGATAACCTAAACCAATTTTTATAAACATGCAATAGTGGAATAAACTCAGAGTATTTAAATTATTGTTACTGAATACATTTTGAATCATCCATTTCTATAAAAAGGTTAAAATGTATTTAACTAAATTCTATATAACTTAATTGAGTGCTTGTGCCAAACACTGGGATTGTGATGCAAGTATGAGGGTCTTTGCTTTCTCGGAAGTCAGAGTTCATAATGGAAAGCATATTAAGTAGGTAATCATGGGACTACTGAACGTTACAAGAGGGTAAAAACAGGCAACTATAGGAGCATGTGAAAATGTGATCTAACTTAAACAGAAGAACCATCACCTCATGACTTAGAAAGCTGTACATTGTGGACAATCAATGTTTCTATTCAACAGAGCCAGAACTAACTCTTCATGCACAAGCCAGTTCAGCAGAGCAAGGGCCAGCCTAGATAGCTCTATTGATAACAGTCTGGAGCTACTGAAGTACAAATTCTATCCATTTTAGATCACTTGGCTTTCCTCAAGAGGAATCTCTCCCTCACCGCCCCCCACCCCTCACACCCTGGCTGCTGGCCCAGGTCTCTAGCAAAATGTGTAAAATAGACACTGGATATAAGAATATGAATGGCTCAGCATAAACTCTTCTTCACTGGCAAGTCTCAGGAAAAGGTCGTGCTGATTGGGTTAGCCACTGTCTTTCCATGTGATTACAAAGCCTATTATCACACAGACAATACTGGGAAACAACCTTGAATATAAATAAGAAGCTCAGCTCTTGCCAGCATGTTTATTAAAATGCTCTTTAAATATTTCGAATAAGGGAAGAAAGGAGATTTCATGGAGTCTAGAGCCAGAATCATGTACATTAAAAGCCATACTAAATTTTTCAAACCTATCCTGGATCTAAGCAAGGAAATGAAAGCAGACAGATTTTAATGAAAGCTTTCAAAATGAGCAATCAGAATATTCCTTTACACATGGCAATCAAAAATATCTATAGACTGAATGAATTACTGTGGAGTTGAATCAGTGGGCTCAAGTTCTTGCCACATAAATCCCCTTAGGAAGAACCAAGTTTCCCTTCTAACAGGATACACAAGACCTACTAGTGTTGACAAGACGGTACTTTTCTCCAGTTTCCTGTTGACCTCTTTCCTGAGACCATTTCAGCTTTCACTTCCTCTAGAAGAGAAAGTGATAACGGAACAAGGTCCTTTCCAGGCCATCCCCCAGACTTTGGTGAGGTCATTGGCTTGAGAGAAAGCACGCAGCGGCCCTGACTGTAGGGCCCCTGGGCGTGTAGGGGCAGCTCTCTGATGAGACGCAGCACGAGGGTTAGAAGCAGCAGAAACAAAGGACGATGACGTTGCTTCTTCCAAACTGATAATGATGCAGACCCTCTAATATGTAAACAGTAAGACATTGACCACAGACTTGACTGCGGCCTAGACAGAACCCCTAGGAATAAGAGCCTAAATCTTCTCCACATAGCTGGCCTTTCTGTGTGTCCCCTCGCGGGACAGCTTTGTCAATGGTTTACCTGTCTTCAGCGTTTGAGTGCCTTAACAGCTGACAAAAAGGTGGCGTTTGCTTATTGGGATCAAAACCGTACCTGAGCTGAGAACAAGAGAATATTTTCAAAGGAGTGCTAAGCGCTTTCATTCCTGGAGCCCTCGATCAGCAGGAAGTGGCCAGAGCAGTCATCGCCCCTCTTCCTCCAAGACTGAGAAGTGATCAGAGATGAGAGAAGTGGAACAAGGAGTCATCAGTCACATCCACTTCTCCAGCCTTCATCACTCAAGGCTGCCGACGACAGACTTACTCCAGGTAGCATCTCAACAGAACGACGTCTGCCCCAGCTGTTTTCCAGGAACTTGGGCTCAGCGGTGTCTAGTCCAAGCTGAGCTGTTAAGACTAGTTAGGACCACTGACCCTCTGACCGAACATGAGCAAATGTCCGCTTGGTGATCTTTTGATATCAGAAGGCAAAAACTCCACCCTCAGATCATGCTGAGCATCTCATTTTTTAATAGGCACAGGCCTGTAGCTTAGTTACCTCTGGGCAGAACTGGACCTTTTTCCATTCACCTTTTCCCATGCTACCCATTCCTCAGACTGCCCTGATTCTTTACTCTTCACTCCATAAGTACCCTGAGCCCCTTGCCTTTTGGGAGGCAGATCTAAGACGTGTTCTTTCCTCTCTGGGATATCTTGTGAATAACCCTCTCTGTATTGCAAATGTCAGCATCTCAGACTTTTGGCTTGATGCTTATGGGGCAAAATTAACCGGGTTTGGTAATATAAAAAAAGTCATCCTCGTCCCAAATTCTGTTCTGACTGCTGAGTATTCCAATGCATGAGGAGATAGTTTTAAAGCATCCTTAGTTGCACATGTCAAACTGAGCCCACTTAATCTCTTATTTTGTCTTTATATGGGATCTGAATCTACAGAAAACTGTGTACTTTTCCTTCCTTCATCTCCCTTTTCTTATGCGTTAGTCTCCTCAGGCTGCCATAATAAAAACACCACAGACTGTGTGACTTAGAAATTTACTTCTCATGGTTCTAGAGACTGGGAGTTCCAGAGCAAGGTCCAGGAGGCAGGGTTTGGTTTCTGGTGGGAATTCTCTTCCTGACTTGCGCTTGGCCCCCTCCTCACTATGGCATCCCATGGCCCTCCCTCTCTTCACACGCAGAAAGACATCTCTCTCTCTTCCTCATCTTATAAGAACACCAATTCCATCAAATCAGGGCCCCACCCTTTGTCATTGTTATTCAGCCTCTGAGTCATATCTGACTCTTCACAACCCCATGGACTGCAACATACTAGGCTTTCCTGACCTTCACCATCTCCCAGAGTTTGCTCAGATTCATGTCCATTGAGTAGGTGATGCTATCTAACCATCTTATCCTCACCTACCCCCTTCTCCTCTTTCCTCAATCTTTCCCAGCATCAGGGTCTTTTCCAATGAGTCAGCTCTTCACATCAGGTGGCCAAAGTACTGGAGCTTCAGCTTCAGCATCAGTCCTTCCCATGAATATTCAGGACTGATTTCCTTTAGGATGGACTGGTTGGATCTCCTTGCAGTCCAAGGGACTCTCAAGAGTCTTCTCCAGCACCACAGTTCAAAAGCATCAATTCTTCTGTGCTCAGCTTTCTTTATGGTCCAACTCTCACACCCATACCTGACTACTGGAAAAACCATAGCCTTGACTAGACAGACCTTTGTCAGAAAAGTGATATCTTTGCTTTTTACACTACCTAGGTTTGTCAAAGCTTTCTTTCCAAGGAGCATCTATTAATTTTATGGCTGCAGAAAGGTAAAGCTTCAGAAATCTCTTGTGTGTTCTGGAAGCCCTTACACAAAGAAGTGCGTGCCCATATGACTCAGGTAAGACTCGAGGACACCTTGTGTTTACCTCTGACAAGGCCAAACACAGAGCCTCCAGATCTCCCTGTTTGCTTCATAAATAGAACTGCTTTGTCCCCACTGCTCAGTCAGAACAAAGGGTTTGTTCTTCAGATTTGGGATGAGATGAACTTTGGTCCCATCAGTGTGAGCCAGCAAGCCGCCCCTCCTCAACCACCCGTCCTGAAAGCCGGCCATGTCCTGAGAACACTCTCTGCTGACGCGGTCCTAGAGGCCACGTCCATCCACCCAAGTCCACAGCCCGGTTCTTTGTAGCCTTGTTTACTCCTCCGCAGAGAGAAGCCTTGCAGACCTCGCGGTCAGGCATTCTCCCTGTTGCTATAGTGCACCTCACACTCTTCCTTCATCTCTCCGCAATCATCCTTTGGAATAAAGTCTTTCCTTACAAACTCTGGACCTGTTGTGGTTTTTTGTTTTTTGTTTTTCACCAACAGATTCCAACAGAAAATTCCCCCCGCTCCCCCGCCCCCACCGATTTTTTTTCCCTTCCATCAGGGCAGGAGCATGTCTGGAGGCCACACCGAACCGCTGCACTCGTCCAGGCCAGAGCTGATGGGCGTCTGCAGTGGCATGGAGTGGCAGGAGCCTTTTGCTGGGGTAACTTTGTAGGAACTGAGGATGCTCTGGAAGAGGGAGGCTGCCTGCTGAAGAGCCGCCTGCTGCCTGGGCGTCCTCACCGTGGGCGACCTCCGCCCGGGGCTCCCGCTACCCCTTCGCCTCCCCCTGCCCCCGTGTCATTGCAGGTGCGCTGCGCAACCCCTCGTCTCTGGAACGACTTCCCCTTTGGGCTGTGAGCTTCCTGCAAACGGGGTTCATGTTTAGTCTCCTGCACTCTCAGCACCCAGCCTAGCGTCCTGCTGTCCAAGGGTTCACTGACTGATTAGACATTAATTCATAAAACTGATTCAAGATGTCTCAAGGACTTCCCTGGGTGGCACAGTGGATAACAGTCCGCCCCTAGGTGGCGCTAGTGGCAAAGAGGTCAGAGATGCCCGTGCATCTCTGTGGCAGAGGTCAGCCTGCCAGTGCTAAAGAGGTCAGAGATGCCCGCTGAAGCCTGGGCTGGGAAGATCCCCTGGAGGAGGAAATAGTAACCCACTACAGTGTTCTCGCCTGGAGAGTCCACATGGACAGGGGAGCCTTGGGAGGGTGGGGGTGGGGCTGGCTACAGTCCACTTGGTAGTAGAGAGTCAGACACAACTAAGTGACTTAGCACGCATGCCAGTGCGAGGGACAAGTGTTCCATCCCCCGTCTGGGAAGATTCCACTTGCCCGAGAGCAACTAAGACTGCACACAACTGCTGAGCTCCAGGGCCCACGAGACGCAGCTGCTGAATCCGCGCGGGGCAACCGCTGGAGCCCCGTGCCTAGGGCCTGCGCTCGGCAGGACAGACAGTCACTGCAAGGTGAAGTCCCACACCTCAGTGAAGAGTGCCCCAGCCTCCCCAGCAACTAGAGAAAGTATCCCCACCCTCCAAAAAACAAAACAAAACAAAACCCCGCGCAGCCAAAAATAATAAAATTAAATTTAAAAAGTAAAAAGATTTCTCAAGACATACGTATGTGTGCAAGTCCTCTGGCTTCTGAACTGATAGGAATGATTGGGAAAATAATTTGAGCTAATATATTTTCTGGATTTTGTTTGTGTGTCGTTTCACCTATAATCTTCACCAAACCCCTAAGAACAGGTACAATTGCTATGATCTTTATTTGACTGATTGGTACACTATTAATGAGGTTGAGTTATTTTGAGTAAGAAGCAGAGCTGAGAGTTCACACACTTCATCTCTGCATGCTGTCAGCTTCCTGCAATCTCAGAAGTAGCAGTGACCAGCTCCTCACAGGAGGGACTGCCCATCATTCGTGTAAAGGAAGATCTGGATGATAATACGTCAAAGAAAGAGATGATTGAAAAGGGCAACGGAACTTACTCTTTCAAACAAATGCCAAAAAGACAAAAATGGTTTGGGAATGTGCAGGCAATATTTAGAACTCAACAGAAATGCTGACTGAGGGATGAATTGTGATCGTGAGACCTTTGATGTTCTGTGCTAACCATCACTCAGTACAAGAATTATCTTCCACAGAAAGCAGTCAGGCACACAGAAAAAAAAACTGAAAAGCTTCGGGTTTTTTCCATAAATTTTTGCTCTTCTCAAATAGTCTATGTACATTTTCTTGGCATGTTTCTGTATGTAAGCAGCTAGAAAATGCAGAGATCTAGACAAGCCAGCATGGTCCACGGTAGAGATGACGTCTGCAAATGGGAGCTTCCTTGAGAACAGCCTCCAGCCCTCTAAGATGTGACTCTGCGAGCCACCCACACTTTCACTGCCCGTAAGACGTGCTTTAGAATATTTTAGCTAAGGTGCACTGCAGAGTGATGGCCATGTGACAGACTTCAGCAGACAAACACATGACTAACAGGAGCCTTAGTCTTGGCTAAGGAAGGAAATAGAGACATTTAAGAACCAAGATGATCCCTTGTATACCTGAAACTTCCATAATATTGTAAATCAACTATGCCTCAATAAGAAAAGGGAAAAAAAAAAAAAACCACGAAGATGATCCTAAGGTCACTTCAGATGGACTCATTTCCTCCTGAAAGGCTGTGGACCAAGCACCAGCTTTGCCAACTGCGTTTTCTAACCTCTGAACAGGAAGTCACAGCGCCTCTGTTTCTGGGAGTTCTCAGGGTCAAAGTGATAGGTGAGGTTGATGACTCATAGCTAAACATTTTTCAATCGATGTTCCATAGATTTTCTTGTTATTATATAGATTTCTGAACTGAGTTACAAATAATCAGGCTTGTTCTTAGAAAGTATAATCTATCAAAATTAGATATCCTTCAATGACAATAAAAAGCAAGAGTGAAGTGATGAGAAGAATTGTTAAGGATGACAGTGTCTCTGAGCAGGTGGGATCTGGGAGACCCTCACGTGGCCCTGGAAGAGAGACGCCTCGGACACTTGTCAAGTACAGGAGCGGAAGGCGAGGGGAGACGCTGCCCGGGGCGGGACTAGACACTGGGCGAGGGGTCTGGAGCTTTCTAGCGGTGCCCCACCCAGTAACCCGGCGAGAGTTGCTTCCTGCACTTCCGTCTCCTCACCCTTTTAGTCGTTTGAACTGCTTGAGTCATTTGCAAGTAAAACTTTTCTCCTCCTCTTCTCAACGTGTGCTCTTTCAAGTTTGGACAACAGTGCTACTTAGTTCCGACTTCATCAAGGTCACAAAGAGTGAAAAAGAGAGGCGAGATTGCTAATGGGCAATTGCCCTCATTCAGTCAGGTGAAGGCTTTAGAGCAAAATCTGCGAGTTCCCTGAGAATAAGGAAATCTGCCTCAAGACTTCAGCAGAGGACTCCTCCCTAAGTTTGCAGCCTGTCAGCCAGCCCCACACATTCCATTCTCAAGACTGCAAATCCGCTCTTGCCTGTGGCCTGCCCGACAGATTCAGGGCTTGCCAGTACCCAGGATTGCATAAGCCAGCTTCTTAAATCTACATCTGTCTGGAAAAAAACTTCTCAAAATTTCTCTTCTTGTTGGATCTCTTCTGTAAGCCTTTTTTTAGAAAAATATCTTTCCCTTTTGTTTTAGATTTGTGTGTGTGTGTGGGGGGGGGGACCATTTTTAAAATCTTTTTTGAATCTGTTATAATGTTGCCTTTTTTGTTCGTTTTCTGGTTTTTTGGCCATGCAGCATGAGGGGTCTTAGCTGCTGGACTAGGGATCGAACCTCCACCCTCTGCATTGGAAGACCAAGTCTTAACCACTGGACTGCCAGAAAAGTTCCTACTTTTCCCTTTTGACTGAAGAAACAGATGAACCAAAAAACACAGTGAAACAGCAAGGGCCTTCAACTTCACGTTTGTCCCCGTCATCTGCACCAGGGAGTGTTCATAATACCATTTGCTCTCTCTAGACTGTTTCCTTTGCGATTTCACTCGGTAATGTTACAGCAAAGATTGGAATGAAAACACCGTCATAACTGATTCATGATCAAAATCAATACAATATGTGTAAGTATATATAAACCAAAGAAACGAATATTCCATTAGCTATTCATTGATCTACAGTCTATAACTGCAGGTAAGATCTTGTATTAAGAAAGAGCTATGAAGCAGAGAGGTTGACTTCTAGTCTGCCATAATAATGGGCAAGTTAAATGACCTCCCCTTTCTCAAATTATTTGATTGTGAACTAAATGGTTGATGAGCATATATAGTGATATTTTTAATGAGCATAAAATGAAGTATTAATAATGTTATGGCTTGCATTGTATCACTCAAAAGATACGTTGGAGTCCTAACTTCTAGTGTTTCATAATGTGACCTTATAAATAGGATGTGATTAGCTAGAGGTGTATAGTCAGTTAAGTTGAGGTCACGCTGGAGTACAATGGGCCCTTAACCCATGATGACTGGTGTCCTTGTGGAAAAAGGAGAGACAATCTCACAAGGAGAGCAGCATGTGATGATGGAGGCAGAGACTGAAGGCGGCAGCTGCAAGGCAGGGACCAACAGGAAACCCCTGAATCAGGGAGAGAACCCTCCCACAGATTCCTGGGGGAGTGCCAGGAATTAAGTGCCAGCACCTTAATCTTGGACTTCTCATCTCTGTTGTTTTGAGCCACCCAGTCTGTGGGGCTTAGAAGTAAGATGATAAAAGTTTTGAAAGATACAACACCCCGAGTGAAATGTCTTGCAGTGCATTTACAAGCCTGGGACGTGCCACGTTAGCACATACGTCAGGCCCTGGGATGTGACTTCACCTGTGTTATTTCATTGTATTATCCCAGTAACCAAATGAGGCCGGAACCGCTATTATTCACATTTACAGTCAGTGAAAGCCTGGCGCTGCCAGCGTACACGGCTTACCCAAGGTCACGTTCAGTTCAGTTCAGCTCAGCCGCTCGGTCGTGTCGGACTCTTTGTGACCCCATGGACCGCCAGGCCTCCCTGTCCGTTAGGAGTCGCTATAAGATGTTGTGGGAACACCGTAATATTTTTTGCCTTTAAGGTCTTTAAAATCTAGTTGATAAAAGTTAAAATATATGCGTGTTAATCTGGTCATTCATTAGTTCTATTTCTAATGTTGTGTTGTTCTCCTTGAAATACTACTGAAATAATAAAGGGAGTGAGAGAGAGACAGAAAAAGAGAGGCAGAAAGAATGTGTATTGTATCAACACTAACCCCAGCAGAAATACAAGTGCAAGCCTGCTAGTTCTTCCGTATAAGCTTCACATACGAGAAGAATTCATTTCCATAGTCCCCAGAGTCAAACCAGCAGTTTGGGGTGAGGTGACTTTCTAAGTCAGCATCATTGTTTCTTCGTGGAATTTCTCATTTCTCTGTGGCTTCTGCACTTCATCGCCTCCCTCCCATTGTCTGTGGTCACTCGGCGTGGAGACAAGCTAAATGAAAAAGGCCTTTCCCTTCTTGGTAAAGTGAGAAGAGCTGCCTCTCACCCCTTTTAACAAAAATGTTTTCTGCATATTCTGTTGTGTTTCCTTTGTTAACATTCACGGTGTCTAGGACTTGTCTCTAGACATTGTTGATGTCGTGGGTCTGCTAAACTAGATACTCAGCCAATCCTTCCCCACGCCATCTCATCCTCCAGTCCTGCTGAGAGAGGAGAAGCAGAGATTAATAGCCCTTCTTACCAGCCATTTCTTTCAAAGCTTTTCTCTTGGGGCCTTTTACCTCCACCGCCTTCCGCTTGCCTGACTACACCCCTTCTTTGCATCTTCTAAGCCACGATGTGTAAGGATGTACACTTGACTCTCCACTAATGTCCATGTTTTAGCTCGTTTCATTCTTTCATTATCATGATGACAAGAGTAATGGCCTCTCCAAAGTTCCTCCAATCTTTCTGCTTCACAAGAACCAAAAATGTGATTTTCAACGATCTTGTCACAAAAATAATTGAGAGAAAACCACTTGTGTTCAGAGTTTTGGTCTTAACGACTTCAGGGTCTCAGAGAGGCAGACGCACAGATAGCTGTTGCTCATCCGTCCCGGGGATTTCATCGTATAAAGCCTGGGAAGGAATACTTAGTAAGGTCCCAGGAAGCAAGACTCACTTCTAACTTCAGTGAATTTCTAATGAGGCAACTCTCAAGTGGAACCGTGACGGACTCAGGCTCCATGGACAGAGGACTGGATTCTGATGTGCACTAGATGCGTCTTGGATAATAGTTGGACCTTTTATTAGCTAATATCTACTGAGTGTTTCCCTGTGCTGGAGGTACTGAGTTAGATGCTTTACAAGCGCGATCTCAGTCGTATGTAGCCCCATGAGGTGACTAGCATTATTTCATATTGTTTCACAGCTGAGCCTGGGTGCTTCTAAGGGATCACTAACTTCCTTAGGGTGGAGTCAGGATGCAAACCCAGGCACTCTGAAGCCACAATTGTTCTCTGAACCTCTGTACTATCCGGCTCACTGTCTCCTTCTAGAATAACTCCACTGAGAAGTCAGGAGATCTGCTCTTGCCTTTGAAGCCCTCCTAACTGCCACAGTAATTGAGGCAGTAGCATACCTGCTGAAGAATTCTCTGACCATGCTGTCTACTGTGAGAACCTCAGAAGGGCCGATTCCACCAGAAGCCAGACAGAAACTGTTCACCCCAGGAAGTCGTTAATCGCTGTGCTGTTTTTAAAAGGACAAAGTAAGCTTTTTTCCCATTGCCAATGCCAAAAATTACCTCACGCATTTCTCAGCATGCCGTACGGTTCCTCACATCCCAGCCGCAGCCTTGCCTCCTGGCCGACCTCCCCCCACGACCCGCCCCCTGACTCCTCCGCATTTCCACCCTGTCTCACTCTGATCTCTGATACCTTCATGCTGTTATGTACGTATTTCTTCTTGCCGGAGTCTCCTTCCTTCTTTTCAACAGGTTGCAGGCCCCTACTCAGCTTCCCTGATGACTCAGTGGGTAAAGAACCTGCTTGCATTGCAGGAGACGCAAGTTCCATCCCTGAGTCGGGAAGATGCCCTGGAGGAGGAAGTGGCAACCCACTCCAGTGTTCTTGCCTGGAGAATCGCATGGACAGAGGAGCCTGGTGGGCTACTGTCCAAAGGGAAGAAGAAAAAAAGAGCCTGACACGACTGAGTGACTAAGCAGCACACAAGCGTGAGGACAAGCCCCTACTCATCTTCCAGGACTTCGTTTGTGGTCATCCGCTCTGAACAGCCTTCCTACAGATGCTCCAAGGCAGAATTAATCTATTCTTTGTACTATCATGAGCTTCCCAGGTGGTGCTAGTGGTAAAGAATCCACTTGCCAATGCAACAGATGCAAGAGACACAGGTTCAATCCCTGGGTGGGAAAGATTCCTGGAGAAGGAAATGGCAACCCACTTCAGTATTCTTTCCTGGAAACTTCCATGGACAGAGGAGCCTGATGGGCTACAATCCATCAGTTCAGTTCACTTCAGTCGCTCAGTCTTGTCCAACTCTTTGCAACCCCTTGAACCGCAGCACGCCAGGCCTCCCTGTCTATCACCAACTCCCAAAGTTTACCCAAACTCATGTCCATTGAGTCGGTGATGCCATCCGACCATCTCATCCTCTGTCGTCCCCTTCTCCTCCCGCCCTCAATCATTCCCAGCATCAGGGTCTTTTCTAATGAGTCAGCTCTTCGCATCAGGTGGCCAAAATATTGGAGTTTCAGCTTCAAGTTCAGTTCTTCCAATGAATATCAGGACTGATCTCCTTTAGATCAGGTTTGATCTCCTTGCAGCCCAAGGGACTCTCAAGAGTCTTCTCCAACACCACAGTGCAAAAGCATCAATTCTTCGACACTCAGCTTTCTTTATAGTCCAACTCTCACATCCATATATGACCACTGGAAAAACCAAAGCTTTGACTAGATGGAACTTGTTGGTAAAGTAATGTCTCTGATTGTAATATGCTGTCTAGGTTGGTCATAACTTTTCTTCCAAGGAGCAAGCATCTTTTAATTTCATGGCTGCAGTCACCATCCGCAGTGATTTTGGAGCCCAAAAATAGTCTCTCACAATAGTCTCATTGTTTCCCCATCTATTTGCCATGAAGTGATGGAACTGGATACCATGATCTTAGTTTTCTGAATGTTGAGTTTTAAGCCAACTTTTTCACTCTCTACTTTCACTTTATCAAGAGACTCTTTAGTTCTTTTTTGCTTTCTGCCATAAGTGTGGTGTCATCTGCATATCTGAGGTTATTGATATTTCTCCCAGCAATCTTGATTCCAGCTTGTGCTTCATCCAGCCTGGCATTTTGCATGATGTACTCTGCATATAAGTTAAATAAGCAGGGTGACAGTGTACAGTCTTGACATGCTCCTTTCCCAATTTGGAACCAGTCTGTTGTTCCATGTCCAGTTCTAATTGTTGCTTCTTTACCTGAATACAGATTTCTCAGGAGGCAGGTCAGGTGGTCTGGTATTCCCATCTCTTTCAAAATTTTCCACAGTTTATTGTGATCCACACAGTCAAAGACTTTGGCATAGTCAATAAAGCAGAAGTAGATGTTTTTCTGGAACTCTGTTGCTTTTTTGATGATCCAGCAGTTGTTGGCAACTTGATCTCTGGTTCCTCTGCCTTTTCTAAGTTCAGCTTGAACATCTGAAAGTTCACAGTTCATTTACTTTTGAAGCCTGGCTTAGAGAATTTTGAACATTACTTTACTAGCATGTGAGATGAGTGCAATTGTGCAGTAGTTTGAACCTTTTTTGGCATTACCTTTCTTTGGGATTGGAATGAAATCTAACCTTTTCCAGTCCTGTGGTCACTGCTGAGTTTTCCAAATTTGCTGGCATATTGAGTACAGCACTTTCACAGCATCATCTTTCAGGATTGGAAATAGCTCAACTGGAATTCCATCACCTCCACTAGCTTTGTTCATCGTGATACTTCCTAAGGCCCACTTGACTTCGCATTCCAGGATGTCTGGTTCTAGGTGAGTGATCACACCATTGTGGTTATCTGGGTCATGAAGTTCTTTTTTGTATAGTTCTTCTGTGTATTCTTGCCACCTCTTCTTAATACAAACCATGCGGTCACAGAATTGGACATGACTGAGTGCACATACACACACACACACACACACACTGTACTATCATATATTTCTATTAATACCACAGGTATTGCTCTTATTTTCTCTATCTGTTATCTCTTGTCCCACAAGCTTGTCACTAAATATTGGCACTATTGTAAGTCCAGCAAGAGAGCGGTGATCACAGTTGCACGTTCTGCATGTCAGCTGCCCTCTGCCAGAGTGTGCCTCTGTTCTTTCCACTCAGCAAGCATAAAGTCTCATATCCACACCAGATGCCTTTCTTACCGATCTCAGGAAATGCATGTCTATAATCCATTAGTTTTGAAGAATATATGAAGAGTTTTATAAAAGTGAAAAAATGTAGACTTTAGAAACCGTTCCTTTTCTTTAATGAATTTTTTCAACCTCAAGCTTCAGTTTGAACTCCAGACTGATATGAGTGCCTCATGGCGCCATCTAGTGTCAGAGTTACTACTGTAACCTGCTCTTCTAGGACTAGGTATCCCATCCAATACTTTGGCCACCAGATGCGAAGAACTGACTCATTGGAAAAGCCCCTGATGCTGGGAAAGATTGAAGGCAGGAGCAGAAGGGGATGACAGAGGATGAGATGGTTGGATGGCATCACCGACACAATGGGCTTGGGTTTGGGTGGACTCCGGGAGTTGGTGATGGACAGGGAGGCCTGGCGTGTTGCAGTCCATGAAGTCACAAAGAGTCGGACACGACTGAATCGACTTAGCAATCACTCTACCTACTGCCCATTGAATCCATGTGGTTTTCACCCCCAGTCATGCCCATTTCCTGCCTGGACAGGTAGGAACCCAGCAAAGGGCAGGGCGAGTCCTCTCTGCGGCTGCCACGCTGTTCATAGTACCTGGAACAAGGTAAGCTAAGCAAGTTAAATGGATGGGAATAGAATTATAGTGGCAGAATTACACTGTCTTTTAAAAAGAAAATATTGATGACCGAAACAATTGTCAATAAAATTAAATAAAAAATAAGGTAAACTAGAAAAGCAAACAATTGGTATTTTCATCGTTGTGAGAAGTTGTTGGCTCTTATGCCCTCCCCACCCCCACGCCCATCCCCACCCAGTGAGCCCACCTCCCGCTAGCTCTCTGAATGAGTCTTTAAATTCTGCCCTTTTTGCATAAGAAAGTCCTATGAGACTCCACAGCTTCCCAAGTTTGAGCAAAGCCACTTGACTGCAGGCTCCTTGAAAGCACGAACGAATAATCAGATCCACAGAATTCGCTGAGCGAAGCCACTCACAGTAACAGAGAGGTGGACGTCCTTTCTGTCATCCGTCTGTCGGCTCACGGAAACGTGGGCGCAAGTGAAGTCCATCCCTGCCTCTGCCCCACGCGGAAGGTCATAAACAGTCAGACTGCCGTCCTTCAGGCCAGGCCGACACGGCCCTCACCCAGGATGGGGAAGCCAGGCAGGCCTTTCTAGGCGCTGAGGTGGGCATCAGAGGACAGAGCCTCCAAGTCCTCTCGGAGGACCAAGAATATCTCATTAAAATTAGCTGCTTTGTGCAATTTGGCGATAAATTATAGACTATTTCTCCTCTGGATTTGTTTGCCTTATTCCTGATAGGTAAAGCAAAAGAGGGAGGAGGGGTCTGGATTTTAAAGTCTTGCCAAATAACACAACACACTGTCCTTGCACACATATCTTTAGTTATGTTCTCTACCCTCCAGTTCACCTTTGGCATCACCTGCAGCTGAAAAGTAAAAAAGCAGTTCAAGGTGCCATTTTCCTTTTTTTTTTTTAACCTATTTTGAGTAGATTCTTTTTAAACTACCAGTACCCAATATTTTGGCAAGGGTGTGGGAGGTATCAATTTATACAGAATGTCTAAGAAAATAAAAAGTGCATGCCCTCTGATACATCAATTCCATCCTGAAGATGTATACCAAGGACAAATGTGGAAAGAAGGATGCTACAAATATTTTCACTGTACTTTTATTTACAATAACAAAGTTTTGGAAACAACCTAAACACTCAAAAGTAGAGTCTATAATGGCTAAATAAGTCACGATCTTATCCGCATGATAAAGCACCATGTAGTCATTTTTAAAAGTCTATGGAAGAATGTTTCAAAGGAGAAAATTTTCACAATCTAAAAATAGAGAAAAAAAAACATACTGTAAAACAGAGTGTACATATTTATGAAGTACGGCAATTTGAACTGTAGATATCTCTGGTTATTGTTACTGTAAGTAATTTGACTTTCTCTTCGCAGTTTATAGATTTGCACGATGAGCATGTATGTCCATTGTAATCTGGAAGATAAACAATAAAGTTGCATATAAAAAAGGAAAAGGAGGAAGTGTCATGTGTTGGATCGAGTCAGGAGGTGAATGAAGAAACAGAAGCTTCCATTGTTCTCCTGAGACACTCATGACTGTGTAGGCGCAGCTCCGCAGGCCTGCAGGGGCCAGCCAAATGTCACTGCTGCTTAGGATCCAAGCGGTGAGACGACATGAATCTCCTTCAGCTTTTGTTTTCCTGAGACTTTATATGCGTGCCCCGCAGCAGGCTTAGACGCCGCACACAGGCCCGCGCCGCCGGGCGCCGAGGAGGAGGCGCGGGCCCAGGCTGCGCCGCGCGCCCGGGGCGCTGCCGCCTGCGGGGCTTTCAGGACGGGCCGGCGGCGTGACCGCAGTCGGAGGCGTCAGGGCACAGGCCGGAAAGGTGGCTTTAAGCGTCTTAGAAAGATGCCACGAAGACTCTGCTTGGAGCTTGGGCGTATTCAGTAGGTCATTGGAGGACATTTCTCAAGCATTTTCAGCACTCCGGGAGCTGATGGACAGGGAGGCCTGGCGTGCTGCGATTCATGGGGTCGCAAAAGAGTCGGACAAGACTGAGCAACTGAACTGAACTGAACTGATGCCACAATTAAGATCTGTGTTTCAGAAGACAGGGTGTGGGGGTGTGTGTGATGGGGAAGATGAATGGAAAAAAAAGAAACCACAGGCAGAGCGTCCACCTACTACAGTGGTGCAGAATTTAGAAAGTAAAAATAAATGGTCGTTATCAGAAAGTCTACAAATAGCAAATGCTGGAGACAGGAGAAAAGGGAACCTCCAGCGCTGTTGGTAGCAGTGTAAACTGGTGCAGATACTATGGAGCATAGGATGGAAGTGCCCAAAAAACTAAAAACAGAGTCCCGCTCACGGCCCGTCACAGCGGCTCCTGCACACGGTCACATCCCCATAGAGCCAGCCTCCTCCCCGGCTTTCCCGCCGGGCAGCAGTGAGCACGCCGCCCCCCCCAGCTGGTGGAGTCTCCTGCTCTGTCGGGGACCCCAGTGGAGACCAGCCGGCCCTTGGAAAAGTACCAGCCCAGGCCCCTTGGCAGGAGCCTAGACTAACGGAAACCTCACCCCAAGCTGGAATTCACAGCTCGCCCTGGGGTGCCTTCTCCACTCCAGAGCGCAGCGTTGCTCTGGGTTCCTCAGGGACACCGGCGTGTGTGCGGAGAAGTGACCTGTCCTTGACTCCCTTCCCCTCGGCTTTGCGCTTCTGTCTTGGGCACAGATCTTTCCTGAAAGGCCATAAAATGCTGTCTTCCACACCACCCACCCCTTGTCACTATCCGGCTTGTCCCTAACCCACACTGAGTTGGTGGCATTTATTCTGGCATAAATGTCCTTAGCACGGAAGTCCTGCAATGCACAGCACCTGGGACTGCACCGCACTGATCACTCTCAATCCAAAGCCAGCCCTGGCACCGGGCTCTTCTGAAGTTGCTCTAAACTGCGGTCAGAGCCGCCACACCGAGTTAGTACCAGGAGCACTGCCGGGGGCCTGAATCCAACTTCAGATGGACCTGATGTGAAGAACTGACTCATTAGAAGACCCTGAGCCTGGGAAAGACTGAAGGCGGGAGGAGAAGGGGACAACAGAGGGTGAGATGGTTGAATGGCATCACCAACTCAATGGACACGAGTTTGGGAAACTCCAGGAGTTGGTGATGGACAGGGAGGCCTGGAGTGCTGCGGTCCATGGGGTCACAAACAGTCGGACACGACTGAGTCTAAACTGAGCTGAACTGAAGAACAAGCAGAACTCTGCCTCTGGATTCACAGGAGAACCATCCAACTGAACCCTGCAAGTTAACCCCCTGGACGGCCCCACAGACCCTGAGCAGCCCTCCGGCTCCAGACTCTCTGCCCCACTTTTTAAATGCTGCAGGTACTGGTGTTTAAGGGGACCAGAGGTGCAGGCTTCCTAGATGGTGCTAGTGTAAAGAACCTGCCTGCCAACACAGGAGACATAAGAATCAAGGTTTCGATCCCTAGGTCAAGAAGATCCCCTGGAGGAGGGCATGGCAACCCACTCCAGTATTCTCACCTGGAGAATCCCATGGACGGAGGAGCCTGGTGGGCTACAGTCCATGGGGTCGCAAAGAGTTGGACACGTCTGAAGTGACTTGGCATGCACACACAAGATGCGTGTGGTCAAGTACCCATCGTAAAAGTGACAACCCCGCTCACGCATCCCAAACCTTTGCAGTGATGGGAGGCAAGTGAAACTGGCTTTTCTCTGGTCCTGCTAGGGCATAAGGTGGCCAAAACAAACATGTGCTTGCTCTTTTGCTAAAACAAAGATTTTTTTTCCTTGCCTCTGAGAGGAGTTTATCTTCTATCTGTAGCTAGATCATTTATTTTATCAACAAAATGTGCTAATAACTGGTAAGGAATCCTATATAAAATTAAACCGTAGGTAGCCATTTTTTTTAAAATGCAGAATAGGAGGTTCTATTGCCACAAACTAGATATGATTTCAATAGACAAATGAGACTGCTGTCTGGTATCTATTGAAAAGAAGGGCTGGTGATCTTTTAAAATCAAAGTCATTGTTTTGGTCAGATGATTCCCAGCTTTTAACTAGCATAAAGTTATTTGTCTACATGATATGTTAATTTACTATTACTCTAGAAATAGCTTTTTTTTTCTTGAATAAATGCGAAAAGGCAGAATTAATAACATGCTTTATTTGTTTAGATAGATAGATAGAGATGTATATTTTAAGTTTTGACTCTGCTGGATCTGTGTTGCGGCCCCTGGATTCCTGATTGAGGCTCACAGGCTCTACAGTCCGAGGGCTCAGTAGTCGTGGCCCTTCGAGGCTTCTTGAGTTGCTGTGCGTGGGCTTACTTGCCCCACGGCGTGTGGGATCTTACTTCCCTGACCAGGGATCCAGTCTGAAACCCCTGCCTTGGAAGGCGGATTCTTAACCACTGGACCACCAGGGGAGTCCCTAGAAATAGTTTTTTTTATGCTCATTTATTTTAGAAGTTCAGTTCCATGCAGTTCAGTCGCTCAGTCATGTCCAACTCTTTGCAACCCCATGAACTGCAGCACGACAGGCTTCCCTGTCCATCACCAACTCCTGGAGCTTACCCAAACTCATGTCCATCGAGTCAGTGATGCCATCCAACCATCTCATCTTCTGTCGTCCCCTTCTCCTCCCGCCTTCAGTCTTTCCCAGCATCAGGGTCTTTTCCAATGAATCAGTTCTTTGCATCAGGTGGCCAAAGTATTGGAGTTTCAAGTTCAGCAACAGTCCTTTCAATGAATATTCAGAAGTTAACACCAAGAAAAAAAAAAAAAACATTATTTAATAGTAAAGGTTCTGTGAAACTTTCCTGAAATGTTTTCACATCTGCAGTAAGTATTTCATCGTAAACATCTAAAGATTTTTCAAATCTGAAATCACCGCTCTCGTCTTGCTGTGGCGTTTCGGTGGCTCTGGATGCCCTTTCCTCGGGGCACTGGGTATGCGCTCAGTTGCTAAGTGGAGTCCGACTCGGTGACCCCAAGGACTGTCGCCCACCGGGCCCCTCTGTCCGTGGGACTCCCCAGGCCAGAATACTGGAGTGGATTGCCATGCCCTCCTCCGGGGGATCTTCCTGCGTCTCCTGCATTGGCAGGCGGATACTTTACCACTGAGTCGCCCGGGAAGCCCCTTCGGGCCCTGCAGCAGACGCCGGCTCCTGGAGGAAATCGTGCAGCCCCCAAGGCGGTGCCCTCACCCTCTGCCCTGCGGCAGGAGCCAGACTGGCCGTCCGCCTGCCCGTCTGACTGCCGGCCGGAGCACACACAGCTGAGCCTGCAGGACGCCGGCCGCCAGGCTCTGCGACAGCCTGCTGCCGCTGCTTACAGCACAAGCCAAAATCACGCTGAGAAGCAATATATTTGCAGTATCACTTGGAAGACATGTGAGATATCCCTTCCTCTTGATTTTCTCACAGTCCCTCTCTCCAGCAATCTGGACAAACCCTTGGGCGCAGCACCTGGCGCTTTGGAGCTCCCAGGACCTATCTTCACCAAATCA